AATCTCTTAATGGTTTCTGGTTCCCCCTTATTATTGCTTATATGCCATCTTAGCTTCTGATGGTAAGGAATAATCCTAATAATGAATTGTTAAACTGCTTTAACTCTGTATGCATCTTAGAGGGAGACAGTAAAAACACTAAACCTGCAACCCGTGTAGAGCTCCATAAACTGTTTGTACCTGCATTACAACTATAAAGTAAAAATTTAAGTATATAATGAAATCGAAAAAACATACAGTATCACAGAATTACAGTAATGACTAATTTATCTTAAACATGACCACTTCCCTATCTTTTCTTTGCTTAAAAATTTAAGATGACTAATTCATCTTAAAAATTTATCTTTACAGTAAAAAAACAACATCAGTTATTGGGCATTAATCTGTACTGAACAAACTAAGACGATGTTGCTTACTAGTCCACTGGAAGACAGGAAGAAAAAGATTATGTATCAAATTGGTTTCAATAATGACCTTTAGGACCTATTTATACTAACAAAAAATAATTAGTGTATTACAATCTGCCTGCATAACCTAAGGTAGAAAATCTGCCCACTACTAAGAACAAAACATATAGGCAGCTTAAAGCCAGCGGTGGACTAAGTCCCCCAGACCATAGTCCAACCTACGTGAAATAACCTGTATGTCTCAGCTAGGCTCAATGAGGGCCAAGCTTTGGGGTTCAAACACGTAGCCAGCCTTTGATTGCGCTCAAACAATGAAAAACTACCCTTTGCCTTTGCATTGTTCATGAGGATGGGCCACGACATAGGACCACGTCTATGATGATGGGCCGTCACGCTGGGCTGTGGATCGAACAGATAATAACATAATGCCGTCACCACTCTGTTTTTTGGAAGTGTGTGCCTTTAAATTTTAAATCACAAACACAAATATATCAATTAGTATATGTATGAATACTAATTTCTATTTATGTATGAAATCAGTATCAATTAGAATATGTATTGAATACTAATTGAGTATATGTACGAAATGTATACCATTATAACGAACCTTATATACAACATTGCTTTTTTTTATGTATGAATAATTTCAAAATTTAATCATTCTATTTTTCTCTAAGAAGGAGACTTTGACTGTCATTTTGAAATCGTACTATCATATTTTGAATTTTGATATTACCAAAATATTATGTAAACGAATCCTATCATTTCCAATCATTTACATAGGAGATAATACGGAGTATTGTATTACATATACTCTATAATTTCACTCTTTTGATGCCCCTATGAAGAGTCTTTGGGCCCAAATTTTCTTCACATGCTTGTAGAGCATCTACAACCCTAAGAAGACTAATTCAATTCATCCAAAAATAATACTAATTCAATCAATTCATACAAATACTAATCTTCAACAAATTTGATAAAATTCAATAATTTTTGTAAAAAAATGTAAAAATAAAAGGTTGGAAACTAAACCTCTATTGAGCCAATATGATCCGGCAAAGGAGTGGGTGTACTAGGAGGGGGCGGCGTTCGGCGGCGTTCCGCAGCTACATATGATGGGAGGCGTGGCGTTCAGCGTCTGCGACTGGGAGGAGCGGCATTCGGCGGCGTTCGAAGGCTACATCTGGTGAGAGGTGTGGCGTTCAGCGTCTGCGACTGGGAGGAGCAGCGTCTGCGTCTGGGAGTGTCGGCGTGCTGCAGCTGGGAAGGGCTGGAGTTTGGAGGCTGCATCGGCGAACAGATCTGGAGTTTGGAGGCTGCAGCGGCGAACAGATCAGGAGTTTGGAGGCTGCCAACTAAGGATGAGCGCAACAAAGGGATAAGGTTACTTCAGGGGTTATTGCTGCGGCCAGTGAACACACGCAGCAAACGGGGATTAAATTTTGAATTTAAACGATAAATGCTGCGGTTCCGTGGTGACCGCAGCAAGTACTCCACAAATTTTCGAAGGAAATGCTGCGGTTCTTCTCTTTCCGCCGCAATTAGTTTGAATTTCTAACATTTTGCTGCGGGTATTCCTACAACCGCAGCAAAAAGGGAGCAGCAAATGACAGATATTCTAGTAGTGACACCTCCACTAAGTGTGGTTGTAGTGCCTCCTACTACGGCATTGTGCCCTCCCTTGGGGACTTCTAACCTTGCAGGCACATTTGCAGCTGGTATGTGTGATCTTGTCACTTTTGCAATATCAGAAAATGCATCAGGCATTGAGTCTGCTACATTTTGTAGGTCTATTATTCTTTTCACTTCACTTTCACAGTGTGAGGTGCGGGGATCAAAATGAGACACTGTAGGAACACACCAGGATAATTCATGTCGTTCTTCGGAACAATCCTTTTTCTTATCTCCCCCTAACGACGGGAATGTTGTCTCATCAAAGTGACAATCCGCAAATCTTGCGGTGAAAAGATCGCCTGTCAAAGGTTCTAGATAGCGGATTATTGTTGGGGATTCGTATCCAACGTATATACCTAATCGTCTTTGAGGGCCCATTTTGGTGCGCTGTGGTGGCACAATTGGCACATAGACTGCAGAACCAAATATGCGTAAGTGTGAAATGTCAGGCTCATATCCAGTTACCAACTGGTACGCAGAAAATGGTTGGTTCGCAGTGGGCCTAAAGCGAATAAGTAAGGCTGCATGTAATATTGCATATCCCCATGCAGATATAGGCAAGTTGGTGTGCATAACCAATGCCCTAGCTATCGTTTGTAATCTTTTAATAGTAGCTTCTGCGAGACCATTTTGTGTGTGTACATGGGGAACGGGATACTCTATGTCGATCCCGATAGACATGCAATAATCATCAAATGTCTTTGATGTAAACTCTCCAGCGTTATCAAGTCTGATGGACTTTATAGGGTGATCGGGGTGGTGAGCCCTTAGCGAATTATTTGTGCTAGGAGTTTTGCAAATGCAACATTCCTTGTGGACAATAAGGTAACATGCGACCAACGGGTCGATGCGTCCACCAGAACCATAAAGTATCTGAATGGTCCGCATTCTGGATGGATCGGTCCACATATGTCTCCTTGAATTCTTTGTAAGAATGGGATGTTTTGTTTTGTGTCTTTAGCATAGGATGGTCTCGATCCTATTTTTGCTAAAGAGCAGGCTTTGCAAAATGAGTTTTGTAGTGTGGACATAGTTAGGGAAGCATGGGCTAGTTCTTCTTGTGCTTTAAAAGATAATTGTCCTGGTGGAGGAGCCACATGGTTAACAGTTTGTACTGTGTTGACTTTTCGCCCTTCTTTATTCCTTTCTCGAAAGAAAGGGTGTCCATGTGAATTCTTGAGAATTCGAATCATCATGTCACGACCGGGGTGACCAAGACGATCATGCCAAAGCCTATATGAGTCTATGTCCAACATTTCATTGTTGGAGACCGCATATGATTCGAAGATTCGGATAGTAGTGACATAGAGTCCACTAGATTGACTTATTAATTTTTCTAGTATGTGTTTTCTTCCGCTTTTACTAGATGTAATATATAGGTATTCTATCCCATCCTCACTATGAGTTTCAACGTGGAAATCATTATCCCGTATATCTTTAAAACTTAATAAAGTTCGAGTAGCTCTGGGTGCATATAGAGCGTCTGTGACGTGGAATGTGGTACCGTTAGGTAGCATAAATTTGGCGGTGCCCCGCCCTTGTATTACGTTTGATGATCCAATCATCGTAGTCACAGAGGATTTATAGGCTACTAATTGAATAAAAAGTTGCCTGTGTCTAAGGATAGTGTGGGTTGTCCCACTATCGACTAAACATTCGAGTTCTCCTCGAGTCATTCCTCAAAAGAGATCCGAGAATCGGGAGTCGCAGGCTAGGAAGGGGGGGAGGCCGGGCGACGGTCGGTGTGTTGGGAGGCGGCGGTCCGTTGGCGGCGCGGCTGGACTGCTGGCGGCGCGGCTGGACTGTTGGAGGCGCGGCTACGGATTGAGTGTAGGGAGAATGGGGAAAAATAGGTTTAGGGCTACGTGCTGATAACGTGTTGTAGGGAAGTGAGAGTAGTGTGTCCATTCCATTAGTAAGCCCCCTTTAAATAGGAGGGATTAGGGTCTTACAAGGAGTGGGCCAATGGGCCAATTAGCTCAATACATATAATCCCTAGGTACACTTTCTATCTATAACGAATGCACATTAAAGTAATTTCCTTCAACAATATTTGATTTTTCAGTCCGTGAAAATGACTCCAACCACCGGGATTTCGTCTCTCTCCTCGACTGCAGCAAACTGCTCGCCTCCCTCGTCATCGAAATTCAGTTCGCTATCCTAGCTCCTCTCCAATAGCAAAATCTTCCTGTAATGATTCAACAATATCATGCATCCATCCAAATCCTTTGATTTGCGCCGCACTCTCCGCCTCCCGACCAAACCAAATCAGCCGAAGTTGAGTCAAATGACTGCACCTACGGAGCCCTCTCCTCCGTGCGACTGGACAAGCAACACTTGACATTAGTATAGTAATAATTATTTCTTCCTCTACGTTAATATTGGAGAGTGTTACTAAGATGACAATTAGTTAACATCTTGATATTAACTATATTAGGATTCATCTTCTTTAATATCCTTTCTTGAGTATTAATTAATTCCTATTCATATTTCATATTAATATTTTGAACATTACTTAAAGGATCAACTAGTTTTGTTTCATATATTAATTAATACTAAAATCGGTCGATTAATACGCTTGTTATTAATTCGGTCCTTTCATGGTAGTAAACTTGGATTATTAATGCATGCATCTCATGGTTAATAATCTAAGGGGAATTAATTATATTGATTAAACCAATAAACCGCTTGTGTTGAGGTTATCAATCTCAATCGTTTTCATCTTAAGTTTATTGCTACTATCAAGTTAATATACGGCGCTTGTTCTATATTGACTCGATAGTAAGTTTTATTGATGAACGCTTCTCGTTATTAATAACTACCCTCGATGAACTGGATATACTCCTCGATTGAGTATTCGAGAGGAAGATAGTTAAAGATATAACCGGGATCGACGAACATTTCATTAAGTGGATAACAGCAAAGCCAAGTCTTCTTCTTATTAATTAAACCACATAACTCGTTCATCTTCGTGTTTAAATATAATTTAAGTTCATTTACTCAATCTAAAACCCCCCTTGTTACTGGATTATAAAGAGAGAAGTATTCCTTTCCCTGTGGATACGAACCTTACTTCACTATACTACGTATTAGTGTTGTATTGTATTTATTTTGAGTGCACCTCACGACAAGTGCACGTCAGGTTTGCACCCCAAGTCTCTCGCCTCTTTGAAAAATTTTGAGATCCTTATGATTGGACCTCCATAATCCCGGCCCCCATGTGGTTCAATGTGGGCCCTAGAGTTGCCATGGCTTCTTCCTCTTGAAGCCCCACCCGAAGTTCGCCCTCCTCGGCGCCTTCGGCGTTCCCTCCTTTCCTCGCGCTCCCGCTGATATTGCTGGAGCAGCGCCTCAATTCTTGCTAGGGAGTCATTCTCCCCCTCTTCATCACTTACATCATCGTCATCTCCTTCGTAAGGGGTCTCAACCGGCTCGGTTTCCGGTTGGTAAGTCGAGTCCTCATAGGACCAGTAGGTTTCCTCCTCGGTGTCAACATGACCGTCGCTCACAGTGTGCGATCGGCCTCCACGGCTCGCCCCTCTACACACTCTAGAGGCCCCACGGCTTCCCTGCCCGGTCGCCACCGGTGCACGGCCCGTCGGGTTCCTTCTCGTAACCTTGCCACCACCATCCATTTCTGAAAGAAATTTTGGAAAGAGTCATTAGACTCGTATCAATAAAAAGGATAAAAGTCCCTTTAATATAACAATCAAAATAAGTACGGTTGGAAATGCTATCCTGACTGAATTTACTATAAAAGGTCATTTACTCTACTCTTATATCTCCCTTTTTCGTCTTGTTACTTTTTTTTTTCATGTTTATGTATTTCACTTTCCCTTCTTTGTCTTCTTCTCTTTTATTATTACATTTTCATTTATATATATTTTTCAGATTAGTTATCTTCTTGTAAAAGATCTTTTCTCATCGTACTAACTTTTTAATTACTTTATTTTCTTTTGACTTACACTTATTTATTTCATTTTCCCTTTTCTTACCTTGATTCCACCACTAATGTATTTTTGAGAAAATTGACCTAAATAGGACTAAATTAATTCCTAAATGCACAAATAGGACTATGTTATTTATCTTCCCAAAATAGGGCTTGTTGGGATATATTATCCCGGCCTATTACTGTTCAGGAGCCCAAGACTTACGTAGTACGGAGCCCAATCAGTGAGGCCCATTTTTAGCCTATCAGGCCTGTTTCGGCCTTTGGGCCCATTTTGGCCCATTCGGCCCATTAGGGTTGTCACGCCCCGGACACGTCAACAACGCCGTACAATACGAATAGTCAACCACAGTCAAGCACATCCATATTATACAAGGCGTCTCGAATATCATTCACCCGTAAGCCATCCATAAACAACATAATAAGCAATCGAATACGTAGCGGAAAACATAGTTTGAAAACAAGTGCCACACGTGGCAAACATGAGCACGCAGGCTCTATAGTAAAATATTCATGAGCATGTTTATTAATGTTTAAAAACAGAATGGAGGGAGCACGAACCAAGTCTTCCCTCCTAGATGATCTCTCGAGCAACGAGCACAGGAAGCAAGCTCTAGCCTCAACCTGAAAAATGGTAGTGGGACGCCCCCGAAGGGGTCAGCACTCTATAGGGCTATAAAGTGCTGGTGTGGATGGCATCTAATAGATATACAACAAGTATTTCAAACACAAGACCCTCAAATAGAGTGATAATATAATCTCGGCCGTAACCCCAAGTTACCCATTTTCAAAATATACTTACTTTATATATAAAGTCAAGTAGTCGGCCCGTAGGCCCAAGGTTTGTTTACCAAACATAGCCCAAACCCCGTGACCCCTAGTCACAACAATACATAGGGTTCAGCCCTAACACATATGGTCGCATTTCTCGAGTCCAACTCGACTACATCACCATGCACCTTATTTAACACAAGTTACTTACTCCACCGTGCATTTCTTGAGTCCAACTCAACTACATCACCATGCACATCAATCACCACATCATGTCTACCCAATGCAATTCTATGAGCACGGGCTCAAGTACATCTCCTTACATTGGCGTAGACCCCAATTCCTAAGCACTCGCTATGCCTAGAATTTATAATATCAACAATCTATTTTGGGACATCCTTACGGACTGCCCAACCATGATCTTAGCATCACATTACATCAATTTAGCCACTTGCATCACAATCAAGTACATCAATTACAATCAAATCCTTAGATTCAATTCCTTAACAATTACAACAATCATTAACTAGTATTTCAATACTATTAAGATTATTCTTATTCATCATATATTCCATTTGTAAAACCCTACATATTTAGAGATATGTAGCAGCAACTAAATCATCCAATGTAATACATAAATAATCATTTATGTATCTACACACTTCACACATGAGTAAAATGCCTATTTCACACAATAGTTCATTTAACTCCATTTTTATCAATACTTTACCAAATCATTTCCCATTTCATTCTTTGGAAAATAGATCAATATTCCATCAACAATTTATCATCATAATCCATGGAAAACATGATTTAGGCATTTAGGTAATCTTATGCTTAACCTACAAGTTGTAAGCAACTAGATGTCGATCCTCACCTCAAATGAGCTTTAAAACTTTCCTTCTCGATCCAATGACCAAAGCCTCGGCCAAGGAAGCTTGAGAACTGATTCCTTGCTTAGAAATGAGTGTCAAACAGCCTCCTCAAAGTGCTAGTTCAACCCTTAATCGTTGGTACGAAAACAGCCCCTAGAATGGGTGTTTTCCGGCTAACCCTAGAATGGGTGTTTTCCGGCTAACTCGTTTCCTAGTTTTCCAAGATTTGCTCTAGGTTAGTATATAACCTTTACATAAATAATAATAACTTTATAAGGACACATTATGCACTTGGAGTAGTGTATAATAGTTCCACCAATCGTTCATATCATTTGGAAAATGAAAGGAAAGGTTTTGGGGTTAACAACTCACTTTAGAAGAGTAGATCTGTTTCTGCAAGGTTGTGTTTTGCTCGGACGATTTGGAAGCCTTCCACTACTTTGATTGATGCAAACCAGACCTTCACGGATTCCTCGTCTTGAGATATTTCTTTTGGTATCTTACACGCCTTAATTGGATTGGTATAACTCGATATATCAACCAAACAGCCTCAGCACTCTCACTGCTCGAGTTTACAGACAGCAGTTCACTCCAGCTCGATTTTTTGTGTGATAAACTCTCCCCTCTCGCACAGAGACCACTCAAATATGAAACTAGACTTCAAAGGCTATCCAAGGACACCTCATTCACGTTGTTTGGTCGAGTATAACTCTCATAATGAGTGGAGACAAACAGCACACCAATTTGTGCGAAAACTGCTCATGGTGGCCCTAAGTTGATGCTAATCATGTCTTGTGCAGCTCCCCTCCAAGCTGGCCGGCCAAGGTAAGTCCTCTCACCCATTTTTATTTGTCTTGCAGGTACTAATATCATGTGGAGTGGTTTCCAATTGATCCCAATCATTTTGGGTTCCAAAACATCGACCAATACTTCCAAAAATGGGAAGATGGGTCCTATTGTTTTATCCTTTGTCAAAGATGTCTTTTTGTACTCATCCTAATTTATTTAGAAAAAGTCAACTCCCTACATAACATTATTGATCTCCAATATGTGTAGGCTCATCTCAATAATTTACTTGATGGATATCATAGAAGGAAAATCTCACTCCCATTATTTAGTTCAATAATGTCAAAGATGGGGCTATAGGTATTTATATTCTTCTCTAATCATTCCATCACTTATTTTGACATTTGTCATACATATTATTGGGCTACTAGCCGTGTGGGTCACTCCCGAGTGGGTCTAGGACGCCATTCTCGAATACTTGCTATTTTTAGCAGGTTGGGCCCAAGATAATATTTGGGTCGCCCGACCTTCCTCAATTTGTCTTGAAAGGTTAAGTAACAACATTTAAGTAAGACCCAAATAAGTATTTGCAAAACCCGACACTAATATACGAGTTTGAACAGTACAATATTCAATCATGCACTACGTAAAACATAACTTGTTCTACAATTCTTTGGTAACCCGGAAATTCAATACATAACTTTGAATCTTAAATTGAATTTTCAAGGACGCTCGGGTGTGGTGTCACAAGGGTGGAGAGCCCCCTTTCCCCCTATTCCCTATAAATAGGAGGTTTCCCTCCATGTAAAGGGATCCTTTTTCCTTCTTCCCCATGCTTCTTTTTCTCCCTAGAATAGCTTACAAGACTCCATTAATGGAAGCTCAAATTGTACTATGTAATGGTGAGGAGAGTCTAATGAGAATGAGAGGGCTTGGACATTAGCCTAAAAAGTCCCGTGGTTTTCTCCCTTTCGGGTTTCCACGTAAAAACTGAGCTTGTTCATACACATTTATACATATATTTACTATATCGTGTTGGATTAAACTCAACAGGACTAAAGTACACTCTATCGAATTCTACCTTTGTCATAACTAGGATAATCATATTTTATAGTATACAAAAAAAATATAAAGATGTACTCCCAGTAAAAAAAAAAAAATAAAAAAAAATTAAGGAAAAATAATAATTTTAAAATAACTATAAAAATAGTTCAAACACATTGAAAATATAAAAAAGTTTGGAGGCCTTTGCTGCGGCTTCGGCCATCTCCCAACAATGCCAACTCCGATCGGTGAAAAAAATGTAAGTTTATGTTTAAACTGTAAGTTTTTGTCTGAAAATGTCTTGAATATGGCATTTTTACTCTTTTAGAATGCCAAACTCTTCTCTAAAACATACATCAAAATGGAATTACTGACACATGTTTGCATTTCTCTGGTGGTCGGAGCTGGTGCTGCTGGTTGAAACGGCAGCAGAGGCCTGCTTATTTTTATAACTTTTATGTTTTAATTAATAATGAAATGTAAATTGTACTAAAACAAAGCTCGAGTAAAATTGAAAAGCTAGTCCTATTTAGTGAATTTTAAAATTATGCTCATATTCTTGCAATTAAAGTTTCATTAAGTCCTATTTGGGGAATTTATGCTCTATATCTCTCTTTTCTAAAAACATCAAAGAAAAAATATAAATAAGTAACCGGAAAATTACAAAAAGAGACTACAACGAATATGAATGAATACATAAAAAGGTAAAAAAAATTCTTAGGAAGAAAAATAAAAAAAATATGTGGAACCGTTTTTAGAAGATTTGTAGAAAGTATGAGTATGACTTATGGTTTAATGATTTACAAAGAAAAATGAAGAAACCTTGAATAGCAGGTCATCAACCAGTCACGGACCGGCGAATGAAGATAAGGTGCAAATGTTAGATTTTTCTTGAATTACGATTAGGTGAGACTATTGTTTAAAGAGCACTAAAAGGTGAGATTATAAGTTTCGATTTTTCCTATTAATGTTGTATTTCATTTTTTTTGGTTTAGTGATTTTATTAGAAATTGAAATATTTTATTATGAATAACAAAATGATTTTTATATTGGTACAATTGGTTTCTATTTTGGAAATGTAAACATAATAATCTTATTTGTACATGTTAGGATAATATTTAGATGCAATATTCCCATTGGAGAATGATGGATTGATTGAAGAGAACAACTTTAGGGTAGTGGCGTACAGATAGGATTCATTGAAGCAAGGTATGGAAATGAGATGTGAAAGAAAGCAAGTGTTTGGCTGGTCCTACCCAACGCGTTATGCCTCCCCTCTTTTTTTTCCCCTCTTTTGTTCTTACGCTGCCAATCCAATGTACGCACCCCCCCAAACTTTCCAATTCGTGACGCACTTTTGCGTTTTTCTGTTTCCAAAATTTTATCCCCTATGAAATCGTCGGTGGCGGACTCACCGGGTTAGATGGGGCAATGCCTGTGACCAAGCCCCCTTTAAGAAACTTCACGGCCTGAGCCCATTTCGTAACCCTTTTTTCGGTTTATCAAACTTATCGATCAAGTTTTTCACCAAACACGTAATTTTTTATTTCGCGCGCTGAATTGTGTAATAATAAGAAAAATCAAGGTTGAAGCTACTTTTTGGCTCTATTGGCTGAAGTTAGTGTAGATGATCAGTTTAGCTATATTTTAAATATAATTTTTTCATAAATCAACAGAATCAGTCAATCTAACAACTTCGGACAGAACTTCATAAATTTCAGCAAAATCAACTGATTCAGCCGATTTTGGTAATATCAAACATGCTCCGAATGTCGTAATACAACTGCAGATTAAGATTCAAAATCTGTACATTACGTACGGGAATAAGATAACAAAAAAACATAGGAATATATATTTTAGAGAAAACTGTCAAATATGTCCTTGAACTTTCATAAAAAGGTCAATTAAGTCCTTCTATAGGAGGTTCTGTCCGGCCGTCGCGATTTGGGGCAGTTCCCGGTGGAATTTTTTGATGAAATTTTTTGAGCATCTTATTCACCAAGTTTAGTTTACTCATACCAAATTTCAGCTAAAAATTCAATCGAGAACACATTCAAATTAATTCTTGAAGATAACTGCGCATTTTTGCGTTCTCGAATTAATTTGAATGCGCTCCCGATTAAAGTTTTAGCTGAAATTCGGTATGAGTAAACTAGACTTGTTGAATAAGATGCTCAAAAAATTTCATCAAAAAATTCCACCGGGAACCGCCCCAAATCGCGACGACCGGACAGAGTGTCCTATAGAAGGACTTAATTGACTTTTTTATGAAAGTTCGAGGACCTATTTGACAGTTTTCCCTATATTTTATTATCATATATGCAGTAACACTTTTATAGAATTCATTGTGCTAACTTACAATCAAGTTACATATACTAACATTAGTAGTATTGCTGTATTGAAAATGTTAAAATCACAAATAATTTAACATTAAGAGAAAGATTGAGGATGTGAGTCTAGAAATTCTTGAGAGGGGAACAAGATAAAGGTAAAAACTTTGACTCGTAAGTCCCACCTTTGAGAAATAGAAGTCGAGTTTATTCAAAACTCTTTGATTGCTAATTGGGATCTTCATTTACCAATCTCACATCCACAAGTGATATTAAGTGCGAACTTTGCTAACCTTTTAAACATAACCGTTGCATGCATTGTGAAAATGAAGAACACTCTTCTTTATTTACTTGATTCTAGTTGATGAAGCAAACCTTTTGAATACTACGTATATAATAGTTTACCACTAGTGATATTGTAGAGATGGGGAATGGAAACCTAAAAGTTAGACAAAGAAAATAATACGGAGTATGATAATAAATGAGTTGAGCACTGTTTACATCTATCGTAAGGGAGTATTTATAGTTTTATACTAGTAATAAATATTATGTGCATTAAATGTACCTACACGTGTCAACTAGTCTATGGGCGAAAGCTCTGCTATGCAACATAATGTGACATGTGTTCTTTGTCAGCCATCTGTTGGTGGACAAGATGTCCAGTCTGAGGGGCCTGCACGAACATGTGTTGACCTGATGTGCTTGTAATCTAATTCCGCTGTTTCTGGTAACTTTCATTGTTACGTTAGTTGTTGGTCGTCGTCTGGCCAAGGTGGGGTAGTCCAATAGCTTATGGGCCATTTGTATATCTACACGTATGTGAGTCGTGTGTCATTGGCCTGAGCTCATATACTCTATCAATAAGTTTCCATTCCAACAACTATGTTTTGGAAAAAATCGCTTGAAATATAAGAAGTATTTAAGATGTTTAAACTAATTAATCGATCGCTTAGCTTTAAAGGGTTTATATTTTCACAAGAGACTTTCAAATAACATAATTGAGAGTTTTGGGTCAGCATATACAATGTTTTCCACATATCATGTAACCAATATTGTCCTTACAAATCGACACATGTGTATATGACACTAATGGAGTATATTGTCGGATACCCTAGGGATATCAGCACTAATTTGCGAGTAACCAATTAAGTCGACTTCGGTCGAGGCCGATCTCACCGAGGCTGAATCCAAAATCAGTTCTCAGATCACTGAGATAAGTTCAAAACCGCATCCGACCTCGATGTCGACCCTCGTCGAGGTTAGCGGCAATTCCAACATTGTAATCGAGCTTAAAGTCAACTAGCACATTATAAAATGAAAAGGTCAACAAAGATATGTGGAAGACGGCAGCACACTCGATCACTGCCTCCACAATGATATTATCACTTGCAATTAAAAAATTACGCCGCAATTCGATCGTTGTTGAATTTTGCATGCTTTCTTCGTGATTAATAAAGCATGTGATGTTGTTAACACACTTGCTTCAGCACGTGCTCTTGACAGTGATTCTTAATATGTTTTGTCAATTACTACAACATCCTCATGTTGTGGTTGAAACGACATGAATAAATTAAATGAATTAACATTAGATTAGATAGGATTCACTATAGCCGCAAATTAAATGTGAGCTGAGTTGGTTTTGTCAACGAACTACTATTCTTATTTGGACGACAAGCCCGGTTTTCTTGCGGACTGCATGGCCTGGAATCATATTTCACTCGACCAGTTTCTACAAACCACATGCTTCAGTTGAAACATAAGACCAGTGTTGGAAATAATAAGACGACCACACAATCAATGGAGTGGCTTTACCGTCTCTTTATATTTTATGGAAAGAAATACAAATAAGACTGAAATATAACATACTCCCTTCCATCAAGGATTATTACCATATTTTACTTCTTTGAATTAAATTTGACCAATATCATATCCTATAATTCATATATTTAAATGGAAAATTTTACGGAATTTTTTTTTTGCAAAAGACGTTTTTATCCACTTTCATATTATAAGTAATTTTCTATAAAATATACAATATATTGGTTGAAATTGAACATTGCTCATCAAAAAGGTCAATAATGGAATATTGTATGAGATGAATGAAGTAATTTTTATGTAAGACCTTTTTTTGAAAATACATCCAATTAATTCATTTCTATAGAAAGTATATAATAACTACTTCTGTTTTTTAATTAAACAATCAGGGCCGGCACTGATTTATCAAAGGCCCACCTCAAAATGGAATAAGAGGCCCTAAATCTAGTTGTGGAAGAAATTAAATCGTCACAATTTCATGAAGGTGAAGCTTGCATTGGTGATTTATTTAAGAACTCAAATTCATTACAATAGAAAATTAAGTAAGGAAATACCGTTTAATAAAAACTTGGAGACTCCCTTCAAAAAAAAACTTGGAGACTCCCTTCAAAAAAACATACTCGGAGACTGAGGCAGGGTCTGGAGCATCACCATCACCGAGTTTTGATCCTTCGGCTTCATCACATGTAAACGCAGTTTCGAGTTAACGGCGGCGGCGGCGGCGGTCCTAGCAATCTAGGGTTTTTGGCGGGCGGCGCTGTATCTTTCTTGGCACTTCAGTGTCTTGGAGTTTTGCTAGTTTTCCTCATCTGAAGCACAGGATGGGGCGCGGGAGTATTCGGGCTCGAAGGATCTTGGCGAATTTTAACTGCAGCACAGGGGAGATGATAGGGATCTGGAGACTGTTCGCGTTTGGACTGGCGGTGCTAGTGCGGTACTTTGGCCAAGAAATGGAGGGTTCAACTAGCTTTGATATTGTTAGTGGGGGACGGATCTATTTGTCCATCAATAGCTGCATTAAGCCTGTGTGGTGGTTAGCGATTCGTTTTGCTCCTTTAGGGATGATCGTTTCAATGTCTAATCGTAGGGCTAATAGTAGTAATTGGAAGGTGAAGGTTTTTGTCAGTTCTGGTCATTTTGAGATTGATGTAACGATCGTGATTCTAATTATATCAATATACTCCCTCCGGTTCTTTTTTAACTTCAGTGTTTGACTTCACAGTTATTAAGGAAATAAAGTTGACTTTACTGTAGAATACACTATTGAGACACTGTTTGGCACTGTTGAGACACTGTTTGGCACTGTTTAGCACTGTTTTACACTGTTTTGATGTAGATTTCTTTGCCAAATAAAGAAATAAGGAAGTGTGAAGTTTATTTTGGACCGTCCCAAAAAAGAAAGTGTGAAGTTTATTTAGAACAGGGAGTAGTTGTTTTTCACTTATTCCTTTCAAAAAAAACTTGGAGACTGATGAACATTTGTTGTTGACTGCCTTCCCATCTTTTGATTCTGGGGTTTCTAAATGAGTTAATGACGAAAAGGGGAGGCAGGGAACAAAATCACAAATCTATAAAAATCAATTTTTAATAGACCTAGTATAGTACTACACGTCTACACTAGTAAAATATGGGGGCATTGAAGAGTGGGGCCCTGACCAGTTGCACCTCCTAAGTAATCTAAGTAATCTCTGAATAATCTCATATTTGCACTCTTTTATCTTCCATTGCTGTCTGATCGGTTGATAGTATGCTATAACAGGTTTTTTATATTTTCTTTAGAAACATTACATAAGTAATCTCACCTTTCACAATTCTTCTCATAATAGTCTCATGTTTCATTTTTTCTTTTTCCTCTCTGATATTTTTCTATCTTTATTTTTATCCCTGGATACTTGTTTTTATCTTTTTTAAATCTTTTTTTTAATTTATGTATTCTATTTGTCACTTTATTAGAAGAGTATTTTTTTTGCAAAATTCCCTTCCCGGACAAATCTCTCTCCATTTTCTTATCCTTCCCATATTTTTTATTTTTTCTCCATGTTTATGTATTTCTCTTCTTAATCACTTTCTTATAATAAAATATTTTTTCCCATTCTACTTTTGTTATATTTTCTTTTTATTTTCACCCCCCCCCCCCCCCTCTTCTTGTTACTTATTTTGTGTTTGTTCTTTCTTCTTGTTATCTTAATTTCGTCATCAATATATTTGTTTCTCCTTTCTACGTCATCATAATTTTCGAAGTAAATTTATCCATTAATCACATCAATTACGAGAAAAAGTCTTTGTGAAAAAACAAATTGAAAAATAAAATAAAATATAAGGAAAAATAAAACAATCAGAAAAGAGTAAAAATGAAGAAGATGGCGTATACTCTTTGATAGATGGTCCCTGGTGAGGTGAAAGTCTAGAAGGGGGTGAATCGACTTTTAAAACTTTTTCGTTTTATAAAAAAAAAATCCCTCTTTTAGAGTTTATTCTAAACCTTTTGAGAGGTAATAGAATGCATAGCGGAAGTCTTAACCAAGTTAGAACGGTTGGATTACACACTTTTTAGTTATAGAAAAAATGACTTTCTATTTTTGACAAAGAGTTGTTTCAAGGATCTTTCTGTGAAGTTGGATATGGAAATAGTTCTTTAAACATTTGTGGAAAGCTGGAGGAAACAATAAACTTCACAAACCACACTGAATTGATTAAATGATTTGTTCACCAGCAGGCTGCTACTAGATAGCTATTCAGGCAGCTACTGAGTAACAAATGTGAATTCCTTGTTCAATGTATAATCAAACTTTCAACAGATGTTAGAGTTCAAAAAGGTTGTAAGAGAGTCTTTTATGAAATGGTTTGCTTTGGCTTGAACTGACTTATATTCACCTTAACTGGGTATACAAACCGGGTTTGTATTCATGCAGTTTAGATGTCTTTTAGAAAGCTGTTTGTTGAAAAATAAGTATTGTAGGATGAGAGACGATGGGTGTGTGTTTGGGTGAACTTTGAAAGTAAAAGACACAGTGAGTTATCCTGGTTTAGAGGTGGTGTAATCATCTTACATCCAGTCCCACCCTCTTTCAGATGGATTTACACTAAGTTATTCAGCCCACTACACTTAGTGCTCGATCTAACCTTGATCACAGGCTTAGATCATCAGGTTTTCACAAGGAGTTAAAAACACAAATCCAAGCTACTATATCCTTAGATGATTCACTAATAAACCCAACTGATCAAGCTACATACCCAGTCCTATTCTACCCACACTTTGGATGCCCTCCAAAGATTTACAGTTTGTTGATTACAAAATGATTCTAAGCTCCCAACTAGGATTAAGCTCTAAAAATCTATCTTTGAATGAACTAATCTAAGAGCTTAATAAGTGTGAGTGAGCTTAGAGCGAAGTGATAGATTAGCACTTTCTTTTTGCAAGATCTTCGTATAAACTTGTGTTCATTGCTCTAGCTCACTTACTTCTTCAGTCTTCACACTTCTTCTATATTTATAGACCTTTTGGCTAGTTTAATACAGGTGCATCATCAAAACTTATAGGGACCTAACACTCTTTACACAAAAAGGGATATATGGGACGGATATTAGTTAAAAGGAGGGAAAAGAAGAAATCTAAAATAAAAAGTCACAAGTCACTAAGATGTCAAAAACTAGCGAAAAGGGATTATCTGAAATAGAACAAAGAAAAAAAGCTTCTAAAATGGTGAAAAGAGAACAAGAAGAAAAATGAGAATAAAAAGAAAAGAAGAAATTGAAATACAAAATAATTAGGTTTCATCAAAAACGCGGTGGTGATTTCGTAAATTAAAAAAAAATTATCAGTGTGAAAAAGTGCAACTGAAACATGAAATAGTGCATTGCATGAAGCGACAAGTGCAACTGTTGGCACTGCGCAAGGGAGACTTCCGACCGGTGAATCTCGTCATCGAATCAGAAACCAATTTCGGGAGAGAAGCCCGGAGGAAAGGAGAACGACCGATACCTAGGGTCAAGTATGGAAATTTCGCGGTGATGATGGGGACACATTGTTGACAAAATGCCCAGGTTTCATATTCTCCCATAATTGTCAAAATGGTTTCTGCATCGATCTAGAGAGGTGTCTTGTCGCACGACGGAGTTTCGACCCTTCACCATTGATGTGAGTTTTCTTGCACTTAAAAAAATTGTAATATAGGGGTGTAAGTATGAGTATCGTCTTCACAGGGACGGACAAAAGGGAATTAAAGATTAACTAAATTCAGCGATTAAAAATGAAATAAATAAAATAAATGCGTCGTGCGAGATTGGTTGATTTGAAAATTAAACTAATGCGGTTGAGCGAATAAAAAATAAATGTGGTTTCTAATTAATTAATGACGAAGGGAATATGGATTGATTCCGGGGTAACCAGATTTCTGGCAGATCAGGCCTAATTACATGAAATTGATTTAATTGAGCCTAGCTAATCATTACTAAGTTCTTACCGCTCTCGCGGCGTAGAGTACAATAATTTAGGGGACCAGACTGATCTCTCATGCGACAGGATCCTAAATTATTGCCAAGACGAGCGAGCTTACGGCTCCTTAATCGCTACTAATCTCTTAGCGAACGATTAAGTGTGTGTGAATGTGTCCTAGAATAAATTAGTTCTCTCTTAATTTATTCTACAAGCAATTGTAATTCTAGCCGCGATTCCAGGTTACAAAAGATATCAGTTAAACTATTCAAACACAAATTAAATGGCATTCATGCAATTAAACCGACAAGAATCTAGCCATCAATCATGATTAACCCCTTCAACAATCCCAAATCCCTAATTAAACTACTCACAATTCATAATTGAAGAATCAACAGAATTGGGATGAATAGAAATAATTTTCATTAATTAAAAAGATAAACTTACAAATAATCCCAGGGTCTTGGAGTAAACAATCGTAAAAACGCAAGTAAATTCGTCCCTAGGCCTCTCCGTAATGTTCGTAACCTCAAAATATGGGTATGGGGGTCTTATTTATAGAAAACAGATGAGTTTGGGCTGAACTGGGACTAAAAAGGGGCTGAAATCCGCGTCTCGGGTGTACGCATGATCGTGCGTGGCCTGGCACGCACGATCGTGCGTAGCAGGCAGATTAGTTGCCGCGTTGTTGGCTCTTACGCTTGATCGTGCGTCCTTTTACGCACGGTCGTGCGTCCGTGCTCTTCATCCTTTTTTCTATTCCGAATTTGACAAAACGTCCTTCATGAAAGTTGTAGATAATGAAGTACTCTATCCACTCCAACTCGCGGAATGTGATTTGAATCATCCAATCAAGAGATATGATCAAAACGGTGGAAGGTGTCATTCTGAAATCGCAGCAGAGATCATCTGACTTCATCATCTGTTTTCACCTTGATCCTCTCATATTCTCGTAATGAAGTCTTCATATGATTTGTATCCCTTGAAGTTGGCTTTCCTATGCAACTTGAATCGTGTCCATTGGTTGTTCCTACAAAGAGATAAGCTTTAATGATTGACAAAAGGTCATTCTGATCGTCGTTTTCAAGCTTCATTCATCTTCTTTTGATCCCGAAGCCAATCCTAGAGCTCTTTTGTCATTAAATCTTCATCGTAAACCTACCGGTGACCTCCATAGCTCTCAAATCAACACTCAAATGCATCTCGAATCATCCCGATTGCTCCTCAAGTGCCGATGTTGAACTCTAAAATCCTGATTTTGACTCCAAATGACACAAAACTCGAACCAACGCCTGTTAAACATAACTTGAGCTAAAATTGAGACTTGTAACACCTTAAAGCTAGGAAAACCATCAAAAGCCGATCCCAACACGCATCAAATGCGTGTCTAAATACGGACTTATCAACCATCTTCACACGCATCACAGGGATGGTTTGGCCTTGTTGAGAGTCTTAAATGGAGTGGCCGGCATTGCCTTGCCTATCCAAATCGGTGAACATGAGACCGGGATCGACTTCAAGATCCAGATCAATGTCAGTGTAAAAATAGCACATTGATGGAGTATATTTACATATACCCCAGGGGTATCACAATCAGCGGACAAAAGACTCCCAGACATCTCAAACACCTAAGTACATAAGTTCCAGCCGAGGCTGACCTCAACACTCGAGGTCGGGAAAAGATGCAAGGCAATGAGTCGACAAAGGCCAGAAATCCGGCCGAGGCCGACCTCGACCCCCGAGGTCAGAGCTCGGAAATCGCCTAGATAAGACAAAATATGAGGACGACCTCGGGTAC